AAAATCTTTAAATTTACCTCGCAATTCTAAACAAAACAACATGAAAATGAAAATCAATTACAACAAGGAGAAAACATTATTAAAAAAAAATAAAAAAATACCAATGTAATTCAAACACTTTCATTTAATTATCATATCCAAGAGCCGTTGGTTTATTTATTTGCCATGATGAACAACAGTAAATGTACCCTCCAATATGATGATACATGAAAATCTAACAACACAAATCTAAATTCAAACTTCCCCACAATATTCCATAACAATATAAAGAAACAACACACATACCTCATGACATAAAGTCTAGAACGAGAATTAGATCTCCAATTCTCCATAGAAATAGCTCCAATTTTCTTGATTAATAAACGAACCTTGAAATCAAAATCACGGGGTCGTTGCCGAGTAAATCGAGCTAGGGTTTCCTCCCACCGCAGCATCGTTCTGGATACCATACACAGTCGAATTCGTACTTTCGTTACTCAACATATCCCAATTCCCAAAAAATCCCATGAAATTACTATTCGGATCCAAATACCCCGAAAAAGATTTGTTTACACCGTCGAAATAATTAGGGATATAAGATGCACGCGAGCTTGACGAACTCCCAAGAAACTTCTCGATCGTCCCCACATCCTCGATCGAGTAACATTTAGGGTTATCGATATTCCACTCCCGATCACCACCCTCAAACATCATCAGGCCATTCGAAAACCTTAGTTTCTCAACATCTTCGTCGTTTTTGCTAGGGTTTGACTTTTCGACAAAATCCTCCCCAAGCATTTTGACCATCATCTTCTCCCTCGAATCGGTTCTCGAATCCGGTTTAAATAACGGCACGTGATTCTCCTCAACCGATCCCGACACGACCTCGCACTCGGAGGCCAACGACTCGCTCTTCATATCACTACCCGACATAATAATATTATTATTATTATTATTAATATTATTATTATTCGGGTTTTCACTGGAAAGCTCGTTTATCGCTCTTTTCGACTTGGTGAAGAGCCACTCGATTGTCTTGCTGGCCTTGTCGAAGCCCAACATGTCTTGGAGATCGAAAAACTTGCGCGCCACTTGGAGAGATAGCCTCATCCGACGGTCACGGATGCCTTGGGCCGTGCGGATCTTGCTGTGACGGTCCTTTTTACCGGCCCTCCGCCTCGGCACCGCCCCAAGACAGTTTCTCGGCCTCCTCACCGGCGGATGGTGGCCGGAAGCCGTTTCTTCCGCCTTTTGGGGAGGAGGGATTATTTTTTCGTCGAGGGTTTTTCCGTGGAGAAGTATTTGGTTGAGGGGAAGATCGTGGCCATCGAGAAAGGGCGAGATCGGGTGGCTCGGGATTTGGCGATCGGTGAACGAGGGCTGGTCGAAGGGGTTATAGAAGCTTGGTTGGGGGAACATTTTTTTTCTTTATTCTTTATTTGGGTCTAATAAATTAGGAAGCTTTGTAAATGCAATGGGTTTATGATTGTTTTAGGTTTTGGTTGGGGAACTTGATGAAACTAAGAAGCTTTATAAAATTATTCCTTTTTTGTTATGAATACAGGTTTAATAGGTGGAGAGATTGTACCGAGAGAGAGAGAGAGAGAGGGTAGTGAAGGTTGGGGCATGAGCGTGGCTAAAAGTAGTGTTGTGAAAAATACACATGTTGTAGTATAAATGTAGAAATGAGGAATAGTACTAGTGATGATGGCGATGGTACTTAGACTAGTGGGGATGCCTATGCCTACATACACACATTAGCACATATATTGTAGGCAAAATTTTATTTTCATATCCATTATATTGGTATTTTGATGGTTTAGAAAACCGGTCAACCTTCAAATAGTAAACTACAAATTGAATATTGATTATTGAACTTTTATAAAAAAAATGTTATTATACACTATAAAATTAATGATAAAAATATATACAATTATCCATTATATATATAAAATAAGTAAAAAATTATATATTAGTTAAACCGGTTCGACCACTAGTTCGACCAATGAACCATTTAACCGATAGCTTAATCGGTTCGATGACCAGTCTAGTTTTTAGAACCTTGCTATTTTCCAATAATACTATATTGAAAAACATCAAACATTATGTACTAATTTGTTAATAAAAGAACGTATAATCATCATGAGTGTTTTATAGTTTTTTAGGAGAATAGATTGATAACCGAGTTATTCGAACCTCGGGTTGTCTCTCAAGGAAGACTATTCGGAGCTTCGTTCACTTAATTAGTTGTCAAACACACAAAAACGGAAAATAAAGTCTTAGACATTCTAAACGATTGATTTGGGGAATTTTTAAACTCTGGTCGTCTCTCAAAGGAAGACGGTTCGGAGTTTCGTCTAAGTATTAGTTGTCCAAAACACAAAAATTGCAAATCAAATCCTAAACATACTAAGCATGGTGATTCAGGGCAATTTTAAGCTAATTGCAATTAAGAATTGAGAACACTGAAGTAAAGATGTAAACTTTGAAAGAAAGATGTGAACTTTGATTATCTGGAGTTCTCCTCATTTGATGAAAACGAAAATAAACGAAAAAAAAATATGCTAGCAATAAGATCCTATGTAGATAAATCGAGTTTTCTTTACTAAATAATCACGCTTTATGCAAAATCGAGACATTTATAACAAGATAGACCCAAGTTTATTTTTTCATAGTTTTCGACCTCCTCCCCTGTGGTCTTCATTTTGATTTTGGAAGTTTGAATTTCTGTCAAGTCATATCCAACCAGTCAAAATGTCCCAGAATAATTAGTGAATAGTTGTGTTTTTTTTGTTAAGTTTAGTTACATATCAATTTTGTCCCCTTAATAGAACATTCTGGATCAATACTTAGGATCATCACAATCCAGCGGAAAAATTTAAACAAATATATTTATTGAAATTTTTTAGCATAAGTTATAAACATTAGATTATCGTTTGAACATAACATTGTTGGTACATTCGTTGAGGAATAATTTGTTCAGCCAAAACTATTCTTTAGTGGATTGTTTTTTTCTTTAAAATAAATAAAAAATTCAACCAGACAACATCTCCACGGAAATAAAAGATTTTCTGAACTGAGGTCATGTACTATATATATAGATTGAGTGATAGAGCTGTGGTTTGTGGGGCATTTGAGGTTTAATAGCTACTGAGAAAAATTGAAGCTGACGGGAAATGATATATTGATATATAGGTGTCCCCCAATCCTACAAACTATATGGTGTAGGACAATTATTTGATCTTTGTATTTATGTTACTTTATTTCACTTTAATGCCAAGTCCATGTTATTTTGACTCATCAGTTGGCGGGAAAAAAAAAAAATAAAATAAATGATTTTTGGTACTACATTAGATAAACTTGTACTACTTTAATGACTAATGAGGATAAATAGTTATAATTATATCTCAAAGTATGTTAAAAATTAAAATCATTGTTTTTATTATGGATCGGGCCAACGGGTCTTGGAACGGATCAGTAATACTAAACAAGCAACGTGGTCAACCCTGTTCAACCCAGGCATTATCGATCATTTTTGTTATGTTTTGTAAGATATTCTTATATTTTTAAAATAAAATTATGTGTATATATTGATGTGGCAAATATATATTACGAGATACTATATTATTAAAATATTTATTTTATAAAATTTACATATAAATTATTGACTTTTGTTATTTTCATGAATATTTATAAGATGAAAATAGTACACATATCATTTTAAAAGTTTAAATCAAATTTTAAGTAAGAATTATAGAGAAGAAAATAATATATAAATATAATTTTTTTTATGTTTCAAAAAAAAAAAAATACTCTTGGATCAGAAGAAATTATCAACAAACACGCTTCAATGATTTCATTCCATCATCTTTCCACTACAAGAAAATGATGAAATTCCAACGAAAATATATTCTAATAGAATTCCAACGGCAATTCCAACGGATATTTCAATGCTATTATTTCCGTTGGAATTATTCCAATGGAAATTCCAACAAAAATATTCCGTTGGAATGAGTTTTCCATTAAAATCTTTCTTGAATTTTGACGATTCCAACGGTGGTGGAAATAAAAATTTCAACGGAAATTGTATATTTCAACGAAAATTCCTACGGTCAAAAGCCGTTGGAATAATCAAATTTCATCTAAAATTCCATTGAAAAATACATTCGAACAGAATATTTTCGTTGGAAATTTCATTGGAATAATTTCAATGGAAACTATACCATTGGAATATCCGTTGGAATTTCCATTGAAATATATTATCATAGAATTTTTCGTTGAAATATAATAAATTTTTTTTAGTGTTCTCTCTATAAATATATAAAACAGAATGTTGCTATCACAAGAAATTATCAACTCCTAAATTTAAACATGCTTCAATGTTTTCATTTCAACGCGCTTTAATGTTCCGCTTTTATGTGTTGCTTTTGGGTGCTTTGTATTTCTATTTGTGAATAATGGTGCTTGATAATTATAAATTTTTTGTATTTTAGAGTAGTTCACATAGACATGAATATTATGTAAATCATGGTGCTTCGTAATTTTAAATATGTGGTGTTTCAGAGTAGTCCACGTAGATATGTATTATATTCATACATATTAAAGTTTTTAAAATTTCAAAACACTTGACTAACTTAAATTATAAATATATTTAAATGTTAATAATTTTTGAATTTGTTATTAGTTTTCATACACAATATATCAAATTAATCATCTTTTAACGAATTTCATTGATATCTAAATTGCATATATGAAATACATAAATAATTTTATGTTTCTTTGTTGTGTCATTTTAAATATAAATAATATTAATTTTTCTTATAAATAAAAATTTAAACATAAAAATCTCTCTCTTTTTTTTAAGAAAAAAAAAAGTACAAAGTTTTTAACTAGCAAACGGTTGTGTTGTACTTGTATTTCTCTCCCTTCTTTTTTTATTTTTTATTTTTCAAATGAGATGGTTGCTATAACTCGAAGAAAAAAATGTGTGAAAATAGATTCGCCGACATTGTTGCTGCATATCTATTTATGTGTTTCAATTCTAGGCATTTGAAATTATGGAATGCCCTTCTTTTAGGTGGACCAACAAAATTAATATTTCCTATATTTGATTTGTAGTAGAAAACCACACCATTACCTCTCTTTATAAGTATCAAAATAATCATGAAGATTTTATTTTTCATCTAGCTATCGTCTACTATATTTTGGTACAAACGATGTTATTATTGAAAGATTATGAGTCTGTTGAAGAACACTTTTCAAATAAATTTGATAAATGATAAATAGTTCATTTAATAATTAGATTTTTAGAAAAGTGCTCTCACATAACTAATAATTACCGAGGATATTACTTATTAACCATCTTTGCAGTAGGGCAAAATAATGGTAAAAAATGTTATCTATTAATATATAAAGAGTCAACTTAAATAATTCAAAAATAGTAACTACAAAATCATCTAAAATCCTGCCTAAATATATTATTAAACATAGTAATATTTTTGAATGTTTTTGAAAAATTCCACCAAATGTGTTTTGAATTTTTTTGAAAAAAAATTCAAATCCAAACATTATTCATATCTCTATTTTTTCTTCTCTTTTCCCGCAACCGCCTCCTCTTTTTATTCCTCTCTTCTTCTTCCCTTAATTCTTCTTACTTTTCTTGCACATCAAAATTACCAAATTCTTCATCTTCCTTCCTAATTTCTTTATCTCCTTCGATTCTCTCCCTCGCGAACGCCCAATGCAAAAGCCCCCAATTTATGAGAAGACGAGATCATGCGCCTGCCCGACATGGACAACTTTCGTCGACAGCACGGGACTGCGGCGTGACTGAGATAGGTGGACAACACATAATTGACGGAAAAACAGCCAAAGCGAGGATGAGGCTAACAACGGCAGATAAAGGATCGTCGGCAGAGACCAGTGCGGCTGCGGAGCGGCACTATACGGTAGAGCCATGTGGTTGTAGAGTCGGTGAAATCCCACAGCTCCAACGGTTGTGATTCAAGTGATGGCAAATTGAAGTCGTGAGCGGCTGTCGGGCACCGTCGGCTTGGATGGGGTGGATGGGGACAGAGCATCACGACGAAGGGTCCGTCGCCTCGGCATTTTTAGTCTTTGGAGTAATTTCTTATTACTGTATTTAGTGCCTTTCATTCCGTTAGAATAACAACAATTTTACTTTATGGTGGGGCTGATGAGGTTGGCGGTGTCGAGCTGTGTCGGGATATGTTTGGAGTGGCGGTGGTATGATATTGTGACAGTGTTGGCGGGTTACCTGCCGGAGCCGAAGCTGGCGATGGAAGCCACTGGGATTATGATACACACGACAAGCCTAATGTATATTATGCCGATGACCATGGCGGGTTGTGTCTCCGCCCGAGTAAGTTTCTTAGCTTTCGGTTAGTTGTGCGTGCGGTTTTAGCTTAATTAGAAGGATAAAAGCCAGTTAGTCTCTTTTTTTTTTTATTATTATTTGTAAAATTAGTGATGATGGAAAATTTGGCTAATCTTATGTGCTTTGGAATTATTGAACTGTAGACTGTGAAAGTTGATATTCTATATTGGAGTTCATGGCTATGTTTGCATGTAAATTGCATTTATGTGGAAGTTGAACTATTGAGCAAGGCAATACATCTACCTTATGTATATTGCGCTAATGGACTTGGGTGCTTGTGCCTAGGCTCGAGTGAGTTTCTTGGTTTTCGGTTAGTTTAACATGAATGATATTGTGGTGATTGGAGTTTTGGCTAATCTTGTGTACTTAGCATATTGTTCAATTGTGGACTATATATGAAAGTTGATATGGTTAGCCCCGCTGCATTTGTTTTATATTGGAGTTTATGTGTATGTTTTCATGCAAAGTGCATCTACGTGGAAGTTGAACTCCTCTAACAATTGCAATATATCTACCTGTTTGTTGCAATCTTTAGATGTTAGATTTGTATTAATTATGTCTAATTTTAGTGCAAAAAGCCTTGTGCCCGCTATTATGTTGAACTTTCATATTTAAACCGAGTTTGTTTATCTCATTGTTTACCTAATTTATCTCTTTAGTGCTTTCTAATTCCTTCTTTTTCCCAAGATGAGCACCTCTAATTGGAATGAATGCGACGATAAGGTAAAACTCATTTCCAACTTCTAGGAGCCATAGCTAGATATGTATTATTGTAAAATATTTAATTATTTAATTTATTTTAGAAACTTAATGTTTTAAGTTCATATCTCAATGGCTTTGTAAAAAGGAATGAATGAACTTGAGGATGAGATAATTTGGCTATTATTTTGATTGACTCTGATCAGGGTATTAACGAGAGGCCACAGAGGAGGTGTTTTCTAATGAGATAACTTATTGTTTTAAGTTACTGTAATATTGATTGTTTGTGTTCTTTCTTGTCGTGATGATAAGTGATTAAATGCACTTGACTTTATTTTGTTTGTGGTTGTCGATTGTGTAGTAGTTTAGAAAAACGTGAACGGTTGTAAAATAATATTAGCAAAATGTTGAGGAAGGCCACGATGAGGGCCGAAGATCTCTTGGACGCGCGCTCGATGGCCTGATGGGAGTGTGAAGCACCGCTGTTAGGGACGGGCTGCTGGATGATGAGGTAGAGCTGGTGGACTAGGCAGGGGTTGTGGGGCGGCAATATGGGAGCGATGACCAATGGTTTTTGTAATTATCGCTTACGAGTAGACTTCATATTAAAGTTGAAAACAAAAATCGAATTATCGAAATATAATCAAGAAATGATTGAGGTACCCCGTCAATGTGAAATAATTTTTTGTCTATTAGTTTTGACAAAAAAATGTCTTACGTAAAATTCGTAATATCTCTAGGTTTAATTTCAAATAATTATAGTAAATTTCGTTACGTATATACACATTATACATATTTAATTAATAAACATTAGCTACGACAATATATGATTTTTCATATTTTGTATTCCTTTTATTGGCATATTGAAATGTTTAAATATAAATAGTCCTATTTAAAATAAAATTTTAGAAAAAAGTTTTAAAGAATACTCACTATTATTCANATATATAATGAATATATAATAATAATAATAATAATAATAATAATAATAATAATAAATTACTAAAAAGTTGATAATTAATATAAAATGGCACCCGTATTTTGACATTAAATTTGTTAGAAATGATATTCTTAAATTATATTTCTAAACTTATATAATATTATTTACAATTCCATAGTTATTAAAATTTTAACATTTTTTCCTTTTTAATAATGGGCCTAATATGGGATCCTTTTCAATATATCTACAATATTTGGAATTTCTGGATTTGCGATTCCCCAATAAGCCCACATAACGTAAGTCAGCCTAGTGGGCCTGTTTCCAAACAAGTGAAGTCACATTGAGCACAATCGACCAAAATACTGCACCTAATATTCATTAGGCAGCTTTGTGCTTCAGAAAGCAAACCAAATCTCCACGTATTCGATTTGGTAATATTATTATAAGTTATCTTATAATGCATGTAATTAGCTAATGAGTTTTATATATTCAATTATATCAAGATTTCGTAATTAATATAACTTAACTTATAATTTATATAATTAACTTATAAGTTTGAAAAATGCTACATGTACATAATAAATATACATAGAGGAGTACATAACACTCACATGGAGTGAGATCCACTTGATTTTTTATTTTTGGTAGGACCCACTTAATGTGAGTATTTTTTTTTTTTTAAAAAAAAACCAACACCCCAGTAGGGGGGGTTAAGGCCGAACCCCCAACCTGTATATTAAATGCCCTAAATGGGCCGAAAAAAGTCACAAAGCTACAAGTCTACAAGTCCAATGTCTGATATACATGCAGTCAACGAAAAATCAAAAAACAACAAAGAAAAGAGAAAATACAGTGAAAAGCTACAACTGCAACGATATATATAAAAATAACATATCATGTTTCGGGATAGAGTCTCGGCTAGAAAGTCAGCATCACAGTGTGGCGGGTGCGCCAAAAGGTAGGTCCGGCTACACAAATCTGAATGAGGGGTATCCCACTGGTCCATCCGTATGAGGGTGCGGAGGCGGATAGGAATATCGTCAGGGTAAAGAATGCGTCTGTGGGGGGTGGAGGACCCGATGCCGGCGAAGAAGTCAGCTGGCCGGTTCCCCTCGCGGAAGATGTGCGATATCCGGGAACGAATCGTCTGGAGAGTGGATCTGATGCGCATGAGAGGGTGCTGGATCTGCCACGTGCCCTGATGTCCAGATGACAGAAGAGTGATCCAACTCTATCCAAATGTGAGAGGAGATCAAGGCGGAAATCTTCAGACCGATTTGAAGCGCCTATACCTCCACGTCATAGCTCGAGGAGACCCGAAGAGGGGCATGAAACGCGGCAATAAGGGCGCCATTGTGATCCCTAATCAGGCCCCCACCTCCTGCAACTCCAGTAAGTCGATCAAAGGCTCCATCGGTGTTTAGCTTAACCCAAGGCGACTCGGGTTTCAGCCAAACAACAGCTCTGGGACGCGGGTGCTGGACAGGCACCTGCGAAGGTGGTGCAAGGCGGCGAGGTGGCGTGCAGCCTGGCCAGTCTCTCTGAGTGAATCTGCCCAAAGCGGTGAGGAGGGAGAGATGTCGGTCAACCGTAAACCATCCATCCTCGGAGCGCGTGATAGTTCCCCGTTTCTTGTCTTGAAATGACTAAAGTGATCGTCTCTGGTAGCCCGACTTGCCGGCTGGATTGACGGTAATCGCATCCCGAAAGGATCGGGTGGTGGCGGGGGCCAAGGCCGGTGTCGCCGTCATAGCAGGCAGTCTGGAAGAGCTCAAGTGGTTGCTAAATGGGGGTTGTCCCTCCTTAGCAGTATAGGGGAGCGTTCCTGCCTCGGGGCGCGTGATCAGTGGGGGTTGAGTAGCCTTCCCGGCGGGGTTGCTGGCGGTTGCGTCCCGAGAAGGTTGGTGGTCGACGGAGTGCAAGGACGGGTTTGCTGCCATCGAGGTCTTTGAATTCCCGGTGGTCGAGGTGCTGGAGATTCATTGGGTGGATCCCTGTTGAAGAATGGGCCCGGGGCCTAGAAGACCGGCAACTATCAAGGAAGTTCCGGCCGATATGTGTCCGCCGGAAATCGTGATGGAGGCCGGTCCGGCCGTTGCCGGAAAATTAGTCACGCCGGCCGCCGGCGGGTTGTCGGAGGTTGCCGCCCGCGAGGGGATGGCTGCAGCGGCTTGAGATGGGCGCTGCTGGTGTGTTTGTATGTGAAGTAGGGAGTTGGGCTTTTCTGTTGGTATGTTGGGTTGGAAAAAAGATGTGTGTGTGGGCCTTGTTGTGGAGTTGGGCTGGGAATAAAAAAGTGACGGCCCATTATAAGAGGGAGACAGGTTTCGAATAGATCTTGCTCTTTCCAGCCCATTGGATGGATCGAGCTGGGGTTTAGGGTTTGTCAATGAGGCGCCGACACATGGAGAGAGGTGGTTGGTCATGGTGGGAGTAGAGCTGGGTCCGTTACAGTGGTCGGAAGGGGGAAGGATACCGGCAGCAAGGAACCAAAAGCCACTGGACAGCGGACCCGATTTGTTACTTCTGCAACTTGCGGTGCCAACGGCAGATCCAGCGCCGGAGTGTCAATGGCGGCGACGAGCTTGACTCCGGAGCTCGCCAGGATTTCCCCCTCTTCCAAGCACGAGAGAAGAGATTGAAGGAATGCCAAAAGGGTCTGCTTAACGTCCAGCAGCTTCATTTCCGGGATAAGAAAGCTGGCCGGAGGTGGTTGGACAGGCGACGTCGCGGAGAGAAGACGACGGAGAGGCGGCCATGAGGGAGATCGAGAACAGGGGAGGCTAGGAAAAAAACAGCCACAGCCTGATGGCCGAGCCGGGCGTCGTCAGCGACGGCGGCCGAGAGAGGTGGCTAAGCTGTGACCGGGAAATGCAAGGACAAAAAAAGGTGAAGGTAAGTTCTAGAGAGAGAGTCCTAGAGAGAAGGGAGAACATTTCAAAATTGAAGTGACTGTTATGTACACCTTTATGTACACTATTATGTACTTATAACATTACCCAATAAGTTTTATGTATTCAATTATATCTAATTTGGTGGATGATTTTTTTTATAACACAAGCATGGGCGGGCTGAGATGGGCCCCAGCGGGACACTGAGACCTACTAATTGTCATTATTATCTTACTCTTAAAAAAAACAGAAAAAGAAAAAACTTAAACATGAAGCTAATAGTAGTTTTTGTAAATTTCTCCATGAGAGTTGTTACTAATTTGTAAATATGTTGTGTTTCTTTTTGTTAAAATATTGGTTTTGCATCCAACAAAGTGTATTCATTCGGGATTTTTAACCACTTTTTAAATTGTTAGAAATCCATATGTATTAATTTAGATTTTTTAAAACTTTTTAAGACTTTTAAAGTTTTGAAGTACTCATTTGGGATTTTAAAAGGTCTTACAAATCTTGAAGTAATTAACTTATTTGAGATTAGGACTTGTTAAAACTTTTGAGATTTACTGGGATTTCTAAAGAAAAAACCTTATACGAAATCTCATTCAAAATCTTACCTCCAAACTTAATATTTCACAAGATTCTTTCAAAATCTGAAAATTTAAAAAGTATCATATCTCAAAATCTTTCAAAATGTAACTCGAAATCTCAAACGAATACACCCCCTAAGTGTTTTTTAGAAAATTTTACAAGCAAAATAAACTAAAGAGAAGTTTATTTATTTATTTATTGTAAATTAATTAAGTTCCTAGTATTTATTATTGTTAATATATGCTATATATTTATTATAGTATGTATTATGGAGTCCTTATCCGGTAAGAGAATGATTACATAATATATACCTTCTATATATTCATATATCATATATGTCACTTGCATTGATGTGTTTAATTCTATACCATAATTAATTTCTCTCTTTGTAAGACAAAAAATATGTGGTAAGAACAATAAAAGGATAAGCTACCCACACATAAATGATCCTGGACGTTTTGGAATATCTAAGGAAGATTTACAAAGATTCATCGCCATGTCTCTTAGATTTGGAAGATCGACTATTTTAGAAAAGTGATGTCTAAGGTGTTCTTAGTTGAAGATCACCTCAATCCAAGGTGTTCTTACCTACTTAAGATTTGTCTTTTGCTTATATGTATTAGATCACGAAATTCAGAGAGAAGAACTGAGTTTTATTGTTTTCTTCTGAGCATATTGAGTTTGCCTATTTTCTGAGAGTTCGTGAGTTTTGTTTTGCATTGTTCTTAGTTTAGTTTTCCAACGATTTAGTTTTGTATTCTTATTCACTGAAGAGTTGTTTTTGTTCTTTATTGATAAACTCTTTGGGGTACTTAGAGATTAAGTATTTTGTTGGCTTGGAGGAATTTATTAATAGTCGCTAGTCCATGTTGTGGCCAGCGAAATAGTTAGTAGGATTAATTGTGTATAGTTGTGGTAGGTTTAGAAGGGAATCATTTACTTGTAATTCCAAATTATATAATGCCGGACACAATCGATTTGTTAATGAAAAAGCTATGAGGATAGCGGGATGCTCTTCAAAGACAAATTTGTTAATTGTCGCTTC